GCTTTGGACTTGATCCTTTGCTACTCACACTTGGTTCTTAATTGGTTACTTCACTACAACATCACACCCATTTTTATAGGTGAGGGTTTGGCATTCTACTAATTTCTAGTGTATTCTTCAAACCTCTAGCATGGAGAGTTCTAGACTAGCCACAAAAATTGTAGCTTCTAGATCTTTCCATTTGCAACCAAGGAAGCTAGTACTCTCTAGCTTCTTCCATCAACTTAATAACATGCTAGAATTGTCTAGCATGCTCCAGCCACCTCACTTGCTTACTAGAATAATCTAGAACATTGATCATGGGCTGGACCATATATACCAACAATCTCCCCCTCCAGTCCATGGGGGAGGAATTCCGATCATGACTTCAAGTTACCTGGAATCCATCCCAGCAGCCTTAATGCAGAAGAATTATTATCGATAGCGTCTCTAATCCAGTGATAACGAATATCAATGTGCTTAGTGCGTGAATGATATGTAGTGTTCTTGCTCAAATCCAGAGCACTCTGACTATCACAATAAACGCCATAATCACTTTGCTTCAAACCCAACTCTTGTAGAAACTGCTTCAGCCACAATAACTCCTTGCATGCTTCTGTAGCGGCTATGTATTCAGCCTCGGTTGTGGAAAAAGCAACACACTTTTGCAACTTGGATTGCCAAGACACGGCTCCCCCTGCAAAAGTAAACAAGTACCCAGACGTAGATTTTCTACCATCCAGGTCACTTCCCATGTCAGCATCTGTAAATCCTTCCAAGATTGGTTTGGAACCACCAAAGCACAAGCACATCTTAAAAGTCCCCTTCAAATATCTGAGAATCCACTTAACAGCTTCCCAATGGTCTTTCCCTGGATTAGAGAAACTTGCTCACCACACCTACTGCATGAGCAATATCTGGCCGTGTACACACCATTGCATACATGATACTTCTTCATATGTTTTTGGACACGACTCTTTGCTCAACTTGATATGATTGGCTAAAGGTGAGCTTACCGATTTGGCTGCTTTCATGTTGAACCTTTCAAGCACTCATTCAACATACTTTTCTTGTGACAGCCACAACTTCTTGGATTTTCTGTCACAAATTATCTCCATGCCCAAAATCTGCTTGGCTGGCCCTAAGTCCTTCATGTCAAATAACTTAGATAACTCTTCTTTGAGCTTTTTAATCATAGAAGCATCTTGACCGACAATTAACATGTCATCAACATAAAGCAATAAAATGATGAATTTACCTCTAGAAAATTGTTTGATATAGACACAAGAGTCAGCATGAGTTCTCTTGTACCCATTACTCACCATGAATGAGTTGAACTTCTTATTCCACTATCTCGGAGCCTGCTTAAAACCATATAAGCTTTTCTTGAGCTTGCATACCAAATTTTCATTACCTTTGACTTCAAAGCATTTGGGTTGCTCCATGTATATCTCATCTTCTAAGTTGCCGTGGAGAAATGCAGTTTTAACGTCTAACTGCTCGAGCTCAAGATCCATGATTGCTGTCATACCAAGGATAACTCAAATGGAAGTCATCTTCACCACCGGTGAGAAAATCTCATCAAAGTTAACTCATTTCTTTTGACCAAAACCTTTGACAACCAAATGAGCCTTGTACCTTGTCATGTTGTCGTCCCTTTTCAATTTGAACACCCATTTGTTTTTCAACGCTTTTCTGCCCTTTGGAAGCTCCACCAGCTCATAGGTATCATTCTTTAATAAGGAATCCATCTCTGACTTCATTGCCTTCATCCATTTATCACTGTCGTTATGAACTCTGGCCTCCTCATAAGTTTCGGGCTCTCCATAATTAGTCAACATGATATACTCTGATAAAGAATACTTGGTAGACGGTCTTCGACTTCTGCTGGATCTTCTGACCTGGTTTTCATTCTCTTACGGAACTGGAGGCTCTCCCTGATTAGGTTCCTCTTGAATCTGCTCTTCAGGCTCCCCCTGATCAGCAATTCCATAGTCTGGTTCATCTTGATCAGGCTCCCCCTGATCAGCATTATCTAGTTCTGCAAGCACTTCATTGGCAGCTGCTTCAGGGATGTCATCGTGACTTTCTTCATCTGAAGCTAATGGATCAACTCCTCTGACTACGCCATCTGGTTGTGCCTATTTATCCAAATCCCCAATTGTTTGATCTTTATAAAAGACCACGTCTCTACTTCGGATAAACTTCTTCTGGTATGGGTCCCATAATCTATAACCAAAATCTTCACCGCCATAACCAAGAAAGATGCACGGTGTAGCTTTGTAGTCTAACTTCGATCTCTACTCTTTGGGCACATGCACAAAGGCTTTGCAACCAAACACCTTCAGATAAGAATAAGACACATCATTACCAGTCCATACTCTCTCCGGAACATCAAGACCTAATGGTACTAATGGAGATCGGTTGATCAAATAACAAGTTGTCCTTACAGCTTCACCCCAGAACTGCTTAGATAACTTTGCAGTCTTCAGCATACATCTGACTTTCTCCATGATGGTTCGGTTCATTCTTCAGCAACACTGTTATATTGTGGAGTTCTAGGAACTATCTTCTCATGACGTATGCCATGTTTCACACAATACTCTCTAAACTGGTGAGATGTGTACTCGCTGTCGTTGTCGCTACGAAGGCACTTAAGAGGTTTCCCAGTTTCCCTCTCCAACATGGCATGGAACTCCTGGAATGTCTGAAACACCTGGTCTTTGGATTTCAACAAATACACCCAGACCTTTCGTGAAGCATCATCAATATAAGTAACAAAATATTTATTTCTTCCAAGTGACTTGACTTCCATAGGACCACACACATCTGAATAAACAAGATCTAACAAATTTCCTTTCTTTGTAGATGGAACAGAAAAACTAATTCTTCTTTGTTTTTCGAATAAACAATGCTCACAAGAGTTTAATGACGTACCTTTGGCAAAGGGAATGTGAGACTTCTTTGCCAAAACTTGTAGGCCTTTCTCACTCATGTGGCCTAGCCTCTTATGCCATAAGTCTAGAGATGAGTCCTCCACAGCATTCAACTTACCTTTCAAAACCTTGGCATTTGACCGGTACAACGTACAACAAAGTCGTGCTCTTGCTATCACCATTAAGCCTTTAGTAAGCTTCAATTTTCCTTCGCCCATATGGTGATAATATCCTTGTCGATCAAGGGTACCGATGGATATCAGATTGAGACGTATATCAGGAATATGTCTCACATCTTTCAACATCAATTGGCAGCCAAGATTAGTTCTTAGGCAGATATCACCAATTCCAAGAATTTTGGAATAGCTTTCATTCCCCATCTTCACTATGCCAAAGTCACTTTCTTTGTATGTATTGAAGAACTCCCATTTGGACGTAGCATGGAAGGAAGCTCCATTGTCAAAGATCCATTTAATGTCTCTGTCAGAGTTGCCCATATGCAGACATTCACCAACAGATAATATTTCTGGTACATCACCAAATATGATAGCAGTGGTATTACCAGTATCATCTTTCTTCTGATTGTCTCTTTCCATTTGCTCTCTCTTCCAAACTCGACAATTTTTCTTCATATGGCCTTCTTTGCCACAATGGTGGCATGCACCCCTGAACCTTGACTTGGATCGGCTAGGACTCCTTCCATAACCTCTAGGCTCTCTACTCTTGCTTTTTCTGCGGTTCTCTGTGACAAATACTTGGCTGTTATCTGTGCCAGAAGTCTTTCTCCTTGTTTCTTCATTGAGCATGTTATTTTTAACATTATCAAGGGTAAGAACACTATTAGAAGCAGAGTTACTTATACTCACCACAAAGGTCTCCCAATTGTCTGGCAAGTATCCAAGTAGCAATAGCACTTACAGCTCGTCCTCAATCGTCATTTTCATAGTAGCCAACTGGTTGATGATATTTTGGAAATTGTTCAAGTGTTCTGCTACACTTAAACCATCATTGTACTTCACATTGATAAGCTCTTTGATCAAGAAGGCTTTCTTGGCTGGGGTCTTCTTCTCGAACAAGGACTCAAGCTTCATCCAAAACTCGCGAGCATTGGTTTCATTAGACACATGGTGAAAAACATTGTCGTCCACCCATTGTCTAATTGTGCCAATAGCCTTGCGATTCATCTTCTTCCACTCGGCATCGGACATGCTTTCGGGCTTAGCGGCATCTCCTTCAATTGGCTTATGCAGATCCTTGCAATAGAGAATGTCCTCCATCCTTGGCTTCCATGTTACCCAATTGGAGTTGGTGAGTTTGATCATAGTGCCACTTCCTTCCATCTCGTAGTACGAGCCAACCAGGCTCTGATACCACTTGTTAGGAATGTCGGTACTACAACATAGAGAATGTTCAAGGTAAAGTAGAAAATTGACACCAAGAATTTATATGGTTCGGCAATTTATACCTACGTCCATGAAACAATTATCAATCTTCACTATATGAAAAAGATGAGTACAACAAGAGTAGTCTTACCAAGCCAAAGACAAGGCTTGATGGATACAAGAAAGTATGACACACACTTTCTATCACTCTAAACTTCACTCACAATATGTAGTGGAACACTCTCACTCTCACTTTTGGAGTGGAACTCTAGCTTTGGACTTGATCCTTTACTACTCACACTTGGTTCTTAATTGGTTACTTCACTACAACATCACACCCATATTTATAGGTAAGGGTTTGACATTCTACTAGTTTTTAGTGTATTCTTCAAATCTCTAGCGTAGAGAGTTCTAGACTAGCCACAAAATTGTAGCTTCTAGATCTTTTTATTTGCAACCAAGGAAGCTAGTACTCTCTAGCTTCTTCCATCAACTTAATAACATGTTAGAATTGTCTAGCATTCTCCAGCCACCTCACTTGCTTACTAGAATAATCTAGAACATTGATCATGGGCTGGATCATATATACCAACACCACGTACATCTTGTGTTTGCTTCCCCGTCTCTATCCATTTGCATACTTATCAACACTAGTGACCGGAGCAATCTAACGAAGGTCACGAACTTAACACTTTCTGTTCAAAAATAATTTAGGATGAGTGGGTTTGGGGCTACAAGAACTTATTGGTGCAATGGTGGGTATGTTGAGGTCTGTGTATTGGGTCTTTGAATTTTGACGTAGTCAAGCGGTTGATGCCGCGAAGGTGACTAGCCTTCCCGCTGAAACGTAGTGCCCTCCTTCAAACTCTCAACGGAGAGTACAGTTTCTTACAGGAAGCCAAAGTTCACAACTCTACATATTTCTTCGTTTTCGATCTCGGTGGCATGCTTAGATTGCTTTCCCAGAGAACGTTGCACTCTGGAAATCTCGCTTCTCACTCCAAAACCACCGCCCTGACAACCTTTTCACGATGTGGGTTCGCAGCCCAAGCCGCCCAACTGCCCCCACCAAACTTCACCACCCACCCAAAGCTTCCCAGCTCAGAGTTCGACTCTCACGCATACGGCGTCGTGCTCCAGCACTGCATCCGAAACGGCGACGCCAGGTCCGCAATGGGTCTTCATTGCGAGATTCTGAAGAAAGGCGGCTGCTTGGACTTGTTTGCTGACAACATTCTTCTCAATATGTATGTGAAGGCGGGTATGCTCGTTGATGCCGCTAACCTGTTTGATGAAATGTCCGAGAGAAATGTTATTTCGTTCGTTACATTGATCCAGGGGTTTTCGGATTACGGGCGTTTTGTTGATGCTGTAGAATTGTTTAGTGGGCTGCATAGAGAAGGCCATGAGCTTAACCAATTTGTTTTTACTACGATTTTGAAGTTGCTTGTGAGGACGGGGTGGGCTGAGCTGGTTTGGACTGTTCATGCTTGTATTCATAAGCTTGCGCATGGGTCTAGTGCCTTCGTTGGGACTGCTCTCATTGATGCCTACTCTGTTTGCGGGTACGTTAATGTTGCTAGGGATGTTTTTGATGAGGTTGTTTGTAAAGATATGGTAGCTTGGACTGGGATGGTAGCATGTTATGCTGAGAATGGTTGTTCTGAAGAAGCACTCGAACTCTTCTCTCAAATGAGGGTGATTGGGTTCAGGCCTAATAATTATACTTTTACAGGTGCGCTTAAGGCTTGTGCGGGATTAGAGGCCTTAAATGGAGGGAAGAGTGTCCATGGGTGTGTAATAAAATCATGTTATGAAGGGGATCTGTATGTGGGTACGGCATTACTTGATTTGTACACCAAGTTTGGAGATATTGAGGAGGCTCGGCAAGTATTTCAAGAGATGCCCAAAAATGATGTGGTTCCTTGGAGCCTCATGGTTTCACGGTATGCTCAGAGTGACCGGTGTGAAGAGGCTCTGGACTTGTTTTGTCGGATGAGGCAAGCATTTGTTGTTCCAAACCAGTTTACATATGCTAGCACGCTGCAAGCTTGTGCAACTATGGAGCATTTAGATTTTGGGATGCAAATCCATTGCCATGTAACCAAGGTTGGTATTGATTCAGATGTCTATGTTTCAAATGCCCTCATGGGTGTCTATGCTAAATGTGGAAAGATAGATGACTCTATGGACTTATTTGTGGAATCACCAAATAGAAATGATGTATCTTGGAACACAATGATTGTTGGGTACGCCCAGTTAGGTGATGGAGAGAAGGCGTTGATGTTGTTTTCAGGTATGATTAGATGCCAAGTCGAGGCAACAGAAGTGACGTACTCTAGTGCTCTCCATGCTTCTTCTGGCCTAGCAGCGTTGGAATCAGGAGTTCAGATACATTCTGTAACAGTCAAAACCATATATGACAAGGATACTGTAGTGGGTAATTCTTTAATAGATATGTATGCCAAATGTGGGAACATTAAAGATGCTCGCCTGGTGTTTGATAAGTTGAAGCAACGAGATGAGGTCTCATGGAATACCATGATCTCAGGGTATTCTATGCATGGCCTTGCCCTTGAGGCTCTAAAAGTTTTTGAAATGATGCAGGAAACAAATTGCAAACCAAACAAGTTAACTTTTGTTGGTGTCCTGTCAGCATGCAGCAATGCAGGACTTCTAGATCAAGGACAAGCTTATTTTGATTCTATGGTACAAGACTATGATGTTGAACCATGCATAGAGCACTACACTTGTATGGTCTGGCTTTTAGGGCGATCAGGCCATCTTGATAAGGCCGTGAAGTTGATTAATGAAATCCCATTTGAACCTAGTATTATGGTGTGGCGTGCTTTGCTCGGAGCTTGTGTTATCCATAATGATGTCGAACTTGGAAGGACGGCTGCCAAGCATGTTCTTGAAATGGATCCTCAGGATGAGGCGACCCATGTGTTATTGTCAAACATATATGCCACCGCGAAGAGATGGGATAATGTAGCTTATGTTAGAAAAAACATGAAAAGGAAAGGAGTAAAGAAGGAACCCGGCTTAAGTTGGATTGAGAACCAGGGCACAGTTCATTATTTCGCTGTGGGCGATACTTCACATCCTGATATGAAACTGATCAATGGCATGCTGGAATGGTTGAAATTGAGAACCTTGAAGGCAGGACATGTTCCCAATTGTAATGCCATTTTGCTTGATGTGGCAGAGGATGAAAAGGAGCGTCTCTTGTGGGTACACAGTGAAAGATTAGCTCTAGCATTTGGGCTGGTTAGAGCACCATCTGGGAGCCCCATTCGTATCATTAAAAATCTTCGGATATGTATGGATTGCCATGCCACAGTGAAGTTAATATCAAAGATTGTGCAGCGAGATATTATTGTTAGAGATCTCAATCGATTCCATCACTTTCAGGATGGAGTTTGCTCTTGTGGTGATTACTGGTGATTGATCTGCTTTATTCGGATCTATGGTTCCTCGAGGGTTTAACTGAAGTGTCCTTGTCCTCAAGGGTTCACTCCCTTCCAGGTAATTCCATATCCGTGACCAAGTACATGAAATTTACCAAGTTTTCGCTTTGCTTCACATCTTGTATGTTTTATCTGCTAATTTATTCCATTGCAGTTCTTAATGGCTAGAAATTGACTATTAAAACCTTATGCTGATTTCATTACTTGTGCACAAAGGTATCACCCACTTGTTTATTGTCTGTTTTTTCTTGATCTTCAAGTAATTCTAGACCAAGAAGAAAAAGTTGTGTCAAGTTTAGACCATTGGCTGTATCTTCAACATCTATCAATCCAAACGAATGCAGTACTCATTCATTGATCATTTCTCTCAAAACGTTTGCAGCCTTTTAGTAGGGATTAACTTTCTAGTTTGGCCTTTGTGATAATCATCATAAAGAAGTTTACATTTCTTTTGCTGATTGGAAAGTTGCAGCATTTTCCTCATTAAAAGACTCGTACAATTGTCTAAATGTAACATCCCACATCGCCCAGGGGAGTGGATCATGTAAGTCTTATATGTATATTCTCATCTCTACCTAGCACGAGGCATCGGAACTCTGAAGTTAAGCCAGTTCGTGCGAGAGCATTCCCAGGATGGGTGACCCACTCGGAAGTTCTTGTGTGAGTTCCCAGAAACAAAACCGTGAGGGCGTGGTCGGGGTCTAAAGCGGACAATATCGTGCTACGGTAGAGTCGAGCCGGGGATGTGGTGGGGGCCCGGGCCGGGATGTGACACTAAATGTGAACTGCAACTCCCACTGAACTTGTTAATTGCTTTCTCATTGATACTCGGGAATATTTTTTTCCTTTTTCATTGTTCTTTTTTTACTCTAGAAACTTTCTTGTTCCTATTGTATTGTTTTTTTACTTCCATTTTCTAGTTTCAGAACAATTAACTGAAAGAAAATTTTCAATCTCACTATAATTTAGCCTACCATTTGATGTAATGATTTTGTCCATTAAAATCTGAGTTCATGCACCCATGTGTATCTAGTATTTTACCAAATTATAGTTTATACATATGTTTGTATATTTATGACCTTAATCCATATTCAAATTTAATGGTATAGCATCAGAGAGGTTATTATATTGTGGGCTTGCGGGTTCTTTGTGGAAGGTGTTTGAGTATAAACTTATTGTTCTTTTCAATATAAGATTTACATATGTGGTGATGCTTTTCCGATTTCCATTTTCCATGCTCTCAGACAGATTGGATTTTCTGTTCCAATTTATAGGTTAGCGTTCAGGCTTTTAATGATGAAGATCCTCAAGGACGTCGCACACTTGGTATTGTTCCAGGCTAAATGATATATTACCTTGGAAACATGTTTTTTTGCTTTCCTGATTTTTATTTCAAATTTGTTGCTTAAGCTGAATGCATATCATATATTTGTTATTCAGGATTATTTATTCACCGACGTAAGGCAGAGATTACTGATTCGTTTAGAAAGGTTAGTCAGCCTTCCCTTGATTGTTTGAGAGCATGATGCATTTTTCATTTATTTAGTTTTAATCTAAGCGTGTATAATCTTATGTTCATGGTGATATGCGGTATCCATCAAATATCTTCTATATGTTGCGTGTCATATCAAACTTCCTAGTCATTTGTGGAATTAGACATCGTGTCACATTTTAAAATATTCTGTATTAGCACTTCAACTTTTGAATCGTCTAACATTGCGATTCTGAATCATGACTTTTTTGACTTTGATTCTCATCTTGTCGATAGCATTTTAGGTGGTAGTGGATTCGTAAATCTCATTATGAATTAGGTAAGCATATCTGTAATTGCTACGTGGAAAGATCAACGGGAAAAAAGGCATATTTCCCTATCTTCGAATCATCATAAACTGCAAGTGGTTTTTCAAGCTAGGGTGAAAGTCTAGCCTTTGGATCTTCACTTTAGAAAATCATTTGTGACGGCATCACCAACTACTTAGGCTACTATTGCTATGATCACTACAATAGTTGCATAACCATGTCTAAGCCTGGGATAGTATGAAATATCCTTCCATTTATTTGCTGCACGGATCTTAATTGCTCACTTTATGGGACTCATCATCAGGGATATGACTAAATTAGCGGAACTTGGGGCTAGTGTGAGTTTAAACATATTAGGATATGACTATACAAACAGAGCTTGGGGCGGCAACTGTGAGTATAAAACAGGAATGCACTGTATTACCCGAGCTACTGACTCATCAGGTGTATGATAAGAAATCAACTGATGAAGAAATATTTTGAGAATTGGTCTAGAGATCGTTTCTTTGTGCTTACAAACCTCAACTATGTGTCAGTTTTTTTTTTCCCTTTTTTGCAGGAAACACAGTACATCTTAACCTGGAAACATATTGCATCTTAGCTGCAGTTTTTTTCATTTCCTTGGATCACATTGTCAATTGTCTTTGTGCTTCCCTGGGAGAAAATTTATCTATAATTTTCTAGAACTATTTACATTCCATTTGAGGGATTTTAGCTCAGAGAAAGCAACAGTTCATCTTACTGAAAAACAATATAGTTTATTAGTAAGGCTTTGCTTCAAAAGAGAACTGACCATCCAACTACTTATTTCCTACTATCCCTAGGAGTATCTTGTCTTGTTCCAATTTCCCGGTTGGTCGAATTACTCTTTGACCGTTTTCATTTTTCCTCTGAGACCTTTTTTTATCTCTTCCTTCAGATGGTGCACCAAAGGTTGGACATTGTTTTTCTTTTTTGTCTACCACTTTGAAAGAGATTTAATGCCTAACATTCCTAAACGAATCAGTTGTGTGTGATTGCGTACATGTCAGGTTGTCTTATAATATACTCGTGTGCGTTTATAGGGAACTTGGCAAAAGTAGGAGCTCTTGTCAATGGCTCAACTTGCTTTTGGCATCAGCGAGGACAAGCTAATGTCTAAGATTAATATTTTCCAAATTTTAATTTTGGACACTTTATGTCACCGAATCTATAAAATAACAGGGTACATAGCTATAAACTTGTATATTTTAATCTCACGTCTTTACTGTAGCAAAAGCTAGAGTTTTTAACTGGTCGTCCAATTTCTATAGCATCTCGCTGCAAGCAGAAACTGATTTTACATTCATCTTCTTTTCCAAATTATTTGTGTGCATAATTACTGTTTCCATCTTTTTTACTTTATGCTTTCATTGTTCATGTTGCTAGCCGACATTCACTTCTCCCAGACCCTGCGTAAAGCGGGAGCCTTGTGCACTGGGTACGACCTTTTTTTTCATTGTTCATGTTGCTGATGCTAACTATTATTGAATCTTGTTTTGTGCTCGACTTAGATGTCTATCTAAAATTTATAGAAGACGTGGAGCTTGATATGTCGGCAGTAGTTTGTAAGCTAGCGCTACACAGTGTGCTCCATTGTCGAAGCAAGAGAATACAAGCGGCCTCTGTTTGACAGTGATACTTAAGACCACTCTGATTCTGAGAATGTAGGTGAGGAAGGTGACTTTAGAAGTCTAAAGAAACTCCCTTTTCAGAGATTGCTTACATCAATTTTTTGATCAGGTTAGAAAGTTGCTTTTGAGTTTGTCAAAATCCTGTCTTGCCAATTATTCGGAACCATATTTTTTCTGTATGAGAATACTTAGATACAGTTTTACGAGCAGTTCAAGGTACAGATATATAAATCTTGAATGTGTGACTATTACTTATACTGGTCTGAATTCAAACTTCTTGTACCCTCCTTAAATTCAGTTGTGATTATGTGGCGCCTACGTTTCCTGCTCATGGTTACGTCGTGCTGCATCACGTAGGAGAATCGTGTTCTTCTCAGAGATTTGAATGTACGCTGTAACTTGTAAGTGGCATTTCTATGTTTCCATTTTTGGTGGTTAAAAGTGAATTTCCTAACAGAACATGAGAAGATGATACAAATTGTCCTCAACTTCCATAATATATGTATGATTCATGAGAAAGCATTTGTTCACGGTTCCCCTTGTACAAAATTCCTTGGGCCATGTCTTCAGTTGTACGCGAGCCCATCTGATCAGTCATTGCTTTAAATTAACTAAACATTTGCAAAAGCAGAACCTAAAAGTAGAAAATGCACTACCACAAATTAATTTAAAATGAGACTATAATCCATTCAATCAAAATTGGCTTCTTAGCTAAATTGGTGTTTGAGATTGGCATAACTCCTCACTTTGGTCCTTGACAATGAAAATCGATAGGAATGGTCCCTGAGTTGGTCTTACCGCAAATCATTTTGGTCATTCTATGAAAAATTTGCGAATATTCTCGTTAAGTGGAGTTGATTTAACAAAAATACCCTTTAAAAGGTGGTCACGCAATCGTTCATGTAACAATTTAACGAGCATATTGACATATTTTTTACGGAATGACTAAAATGATTTAGGTTGGACAAACTCAAAGACCATTTCTATTGATTTTCAAAACCCTAAAAATAATTAACAAAAAAATAAGAGGGAAAATTATGTCATACAACAATGTATGTTATACATAAACTCTTTCAACCGTTAAATGTTACAGTTTCACAGTATCTCCTAAGAGTATGGAATGATAACTATCGTGGGAGTGTACTGTTTACGTACAAAAATTCATTCACAAGGGGAGAAATTAAGGCACGGGGTGTGTCTCGTGGATAAGAAACATGCAGCCGCAAGGGCCACAACGTTGGAAGTCTATGAAACCTACCAAACACAGAATCGTCGCGACGAAATTGGAACGCTCGCATCCCATCCGGTCCTGCTGAGGAAGAATATATTTTTCCTACGTTTGAAGTTTCAAAGCACTCGACCAATGAAACGACCCCACAGAAAAAAGAAACAGATCAGAGAAACATTAAAGTCAAGCTTTAATCTTGACAAGATTATATTTGAAAAATCATTTAACTAGATGCATATGAGTGATCGTAGTTGTGACCTTAATAACTCATCGACCGTCGTATTAGCTTCTCAATAACTATGACTTTCAAGATTAGTAGGCTTTACGGAATTGCTTGGATAAGAACTTCTAATCCTCCTTCGATATTTATTAAAGTTAACAAAACGCATTCGTATTGTTCAGTGTAAAATATCTCAAAGAGCAATAATTTTTACCCAATGACACAAAAGTGTAACCAACGAAGAACGAACCTGCTATAATATAAAATTGTATTATTTAAAATACATGATATGGTTGAAAATTCATTTTTAGCGCACTTGGTCTATTTGTGTAGGTGAATAATTGCGGACAAAATTGCTAGGTAAAGCCATAAGATCGACGATAAATTTTTTAGTGTACTGGAAATACGACACGATACACCAAGTATCATAAAATAAATAGTTACAGTTTTTTTCTTCTAGCATCTAATCATTTGTTTTACGACACTTGTTATATCAGACCATATTTTTTACACACTGAAAAATCTCTCTCGATCGACATGCATAAACACAATACATCATGGATGAAGTGTGGTGAATTAACATATAATATGTTGATGTGAAGAGTCACCTTTCCTACAAAACTAAATAAATAACAATTAATCTGCATAACATAATTAAACATCATAAACTTATAATTTACTTTTTCAAAAACTATAATCCGATGAGGAATTTGAACACGATGAGCTTGTCTTATTTGACACTTGACAATTGACATGTGCACTCATCACTTCTCTTCCACTTTGTTTGTTTGTACACGTACACCTAGCAAACTAGAGCTAGCCTAGCCTAGTACCCACACCAACACTTTTTTCTTTTATTGTTCATGTACGTAATACAAAACCTTTTTGTTTTGAAACCTGCAAATCTGCAATGCACACCCCTGCAAAACAAAATGTACGTTTACATGGTGAACAGAAGAAATATACAATTCAAATTCGTTCGACCCAAATCAACTGTAGCTAGAAAGTTAGGGTTTATAGCTGCGAGCTCAACCTCTTGGAAAGAAAAAAAAAGAAAAGAAAAGGTGTTTATTATGTGATTAATCTATATATGTCTGAGCCAGTTGACCATGTAGATATATAAAGGTGGATGAATGATGATGAGGCATATGAGCCATCTTGTCAAGATCTTAGTAGTGGAATTACAAGACGAATGATCGATGTAAGAAAAGCTAAGAGAATAGGACTCTCTTAAAAGTGAGATTTATTGTTACTTTATGTATTTTTGTATAATGATGTATAATATTGACATAAAAATTAACGTTAAATTGTTAGATAGTAGAGATATCATAAAGAATCTCATTTTGAGATAATCTCCTTAGTATTTCTAAAAGGTAATTATTGTTCTCTCTCACTTTTTCCTCTCTCCATTGTAGGTGCGGAGGCATTGAATCATCGATCATCAGGTAGCAAGAAGACTCAATTTCCCATTACAAAGTAACTGTTTCAGTACTTTTCATCAATAATCAAACGTCCACGTGACCCAACCACGACAATGCAACCCATCCCCAAAAGAAATTTCATTGTTATGATAGCCGGTTGTAAAATAATACAGTAATTAGAGAACAATCAAACGGGGATTAGTTTAATGAAATATTTAACTAGTCAGGCCAAATGTGGATTAGTAAAAGAAGGTGGTGGTGATGATGGCGGTAATAGAAATATGAGAAGAGAGAATACATGTTGAGGGTTTTCCAGGGGCCCACAGGAGAGCCCCCCACGAAGTCCGGCTTTGCACGCGCAGTCAGGAGGTGGGGACCCAGGAACAGGCCCACACCTCAGTCCATGCAAAAGGGAGAACAAAAAAAATCAGAAAAGAGAGAGAGAGAGCGAGCGTGGAATTTTATGGCCCAGGCAGCCCTTGTCTTGTCGGGAATTCGAAGGGCTATCGCTGTTATCGTGAACCTGCACGCACCCCATACCATAATAAATAGAAAGCGCTCTCTCTCTCTCTCTCTCTCTCTCTCTCTCTCTCTCTCTCTACACACATAGATAGAGGTATCATGCATGCGCATGCATGGCGTTGGCTGCCAATTGATTATGAATTATCATGCTTCTTCTTCTCCTCTCAGCTTTCTTGCCCTTCCAAGTTTATTAACCAACCTACCTTACAAGTTACAAGATAGCTCAACTTTAACCCTAAACAACATATATTTATATATAGAGAGAGACAGAGAGACAGAGACAGAGACAGAGACGGGTACTACGCTATGCTGCCAAGGGAATCTGCTGCATAGAATAGGTTAGCTTTAAGCATGCTAACGACTCCATGCCTTGCTTCACATATGTTACTCCTTACGAGTTAACAGCAATTGGCCATTGATTTCCAACTTACTTTCTTTTCCATCTGAATATCGATACATACCACCCAAAAACAATAAAAAGAAGGGAACTTTAAAGAAAAAACTTCTGGTACTGTTCACTTTAATGAAAAATCATATTTTTAAACCAAAAAGTCAATCCCAATACTATTCACTTTACTTTTTATTTTGTCTTTATCGTTAAAACTCAAAGTTTTAAAGCTATTTTCATTAGTTTTCCTAACCTAAAAAATTGCAAGGAATCATATATATATATATATATATATATATATATCAGTAACACACACACACACATATATAACTTCTTCCAATTGAAAAAAGGAGAGATTTTATTCAATAGCATTGTACTTTATATTCCAAGTATTGAAATATTAATATATATATATACATACATGATATATACTAATCTAAGGGACAATTTTTGCTAAAAAGTCTGCAAGTTATTGTTCTTTCTTAATATATGGTATATGCTTGTGTAAAAATTGAAATAATTTTTTGGTATACCAGTATCCTTATCCTTTCTAAAGTATTATTGTATGTTTAATATCAATGAACAAAGGGTATCTAAAACTAACAATAAAATATAAATTGTGATTACAAAATGCATAATTTGAGTAAATAATTACAAAAAAACAGAACTTTTGGAAAAAAAATTCGAAACACCTCAGAAAAATATGGATCATAAATTTGGAATTATCGGAAAATGCATTCCAGTTTTTCGAAAAATATTCTGATTTTGAAGTTTTACTTTCGGAAGATAGAAGATGGAGAAGTCATGAAGAAACTTCTCTCTCTCAATCCTACCGTTTTTATATAGATTAGGAGGGATACATTTTTTTCATAATTTATCCATTTTCTACTTTCATTTAGAAAAAAAATATGCAAGTTCATATCCAGATTTACATTCAACATTCAATTTAATGAATTGTCCAAACCAAGTCAATCCTAAACATCAAACGATATGGTGAGGGAGAAAATATGGGCCCTCTCTCTTAATGTTACATGAAAGCAACAAAGCAAGACTTAGTTCAGGTACATATACAAATATTTTTTATGGTATTCTGGAGTATGAGATACTTGAATCTTTTAACTGTTAAATTTTTGTTTAAAATTTTAAAATTTAAGGATTAAAACACCCGAAGAAAATGCCTTGATGTTTTAAGGAAACCAGTAATTAGCATGCAAGTTGTTAACCATATATAATAAAGTTGGAGCTATGCATGTAAATCATCATCATTGGAGCTATATTAAAATTTGGTGGTGGTGGAATTGGAGTGTCCAAGAATTGTTAAATTGTTTTGGTTTTTGGAAATTTTTTTGTCCACAGTTTGTATTTTGCGGATGTATTAATGAAATTCTGTTTCAATACGTTACGTTGTCTTCGCAAAAGATGAGCTGGCTAGCAGCCATGAAAGGTACCATCATCAAATATGAGTGAGAGAAAATGAAAGCGAAAAAAGGTTTG